GCAATTAATTGATTTATTGTCCATCGCGACAGGCCTAGGTGCGTGACTGCTCTTCTTCTGAATAAATGAAAACTATGTAACACAGTTGTTTACACTTAAATTAAAAATATTTGACCAAAGAAAAACCGGAGCAGGACTAGAGAGAGGTGAATATGATTTAGATTTTTATTTCAGTGATTGTATACGACCCGCAGCAGACACAACATTAACAGCAGTCATCATTTCATGCCTTGGCTTTAGCAGGTCTGATGCTGATAAAAAATTACTTTTTTTTCTGGATCTCTGAGAGCAGGACTTCAGTCTCTGAACTTGTAAAGTTCTTCTTTTTACTTTGACCGATTTATGAATGGACATTTCCTGGTATCTTGGGTAGGAAACGTATATCCTTATATGGTGTTTTTGGGGAGGTAGATTATACTAATCACCTCTCCCCGTGCACGAGCACCTGATACGCATTCATCACTTTACACAGCGCATTTATACACTTTTCCTGAAAATAGAAGAGTTTGTTGAATCTGACGTGGCATGTTCATACGAACCCTTTGTACAAACAAAAGTAAGAGAAATTTAGGATAAGAATATGAACATGAGGCCCAATGTGATGTTGTTAGGTAAGTATGGATTGAAAAATTAGAGCAGCTCTGAAGGTAAAAGGTGCCCTCTGATTGTTTCTTACACATTATATACATGACTGCTAAAGAAATTTCTGCTGTTAAGTTTATAACTAATCTGTACTATTTACTGAAGCACAGAAAACCAAAGCAGATCAATGGATTTACTTCTGTGTTTTGTGTCTTTCTTCAGACCTGGCTGACCTTCCTCTGGTCAAGTTTGATCTGTCCTGTAACAAGGTGTCCACCATCCCAGTGTGTTACAGGAAGATGAGGCAGCTCCAGTCCCTTCAGTTAGAGAACAATCCTCTGCAGAGCCCACCTGCACAGGTACCTGCACAGAAAATGTCTGCTGAGTGAAAATAGAAAACCTCAGAGACCATCCAACCATTACTGCAGCATGAATTCATAATGGGAACTGTAGTTTTCTGTCAAGTGGGAGGATTTTTCCCACATTAACAAAGAAACGAGTTTCATGAAGAAAGGTTGAGATTGAAATTAACCACAGATGGACTTTGACTTGAGTTTAATAGAAACTCATTTCTCTTCCTACAGATCTGCATAAAGGGTAAAGTTCATATATTTAAATATCTAAGCATGGAGGCGTGTCGCAGTGAGAAGATGTCTGACTCKCTCTACCTGCCGGCTATCGAGCGTCTCGGCCTGCGACCCTCAACTGGCAGGTCAGTCACCATGGCAATGCTGGAATTGCATCAACAATTCAGAGGTGTCTAAAAATTGGAGTCTTCTGCAGCACTAAAGTCATCTTGACTTCTTTGTCTTGGGCAGTAGAAAAATAGATAAAAAAAAAAACTTTGCTTTAAATACCATCAATTAAAAGAAGTTGTATCTACAAAATTTTATCTTCTTCTCAAACGTTTGACCAGCAGCACAGATTATTTACCTCAGTCAAAGTTTGTTCCATCAGAGGACAGTAAGAAAGACAAATATTGGGTTGTGTTGTGTCAAATGTAAGGATTTATTATTGAAATTATAACCATAAACTATAAACTGACATGCAGTGAAAATAAGTTTATTGTCAGAGAAACATGCTGGTTACAGGGCCAATTTAAGAGCTGCCTGAATAACTTATTCATCTAAGCTGAAAATACTTGTTTATTTCTGGTAAATTAGTGAGTATATTCATCTCTTACACCGAAACGAGAGAATTCAGATTTCAGCAATCAGTTTCTGGGTGAAAAACCTTTAATGTTTTGAATAATTCTATCAGTTGAAGCTGAAGAACTCCAACGTGTTGGTCAGAAGGATGATCCATTAAGTTTTATCAGTTCAGTTTTTATACCGTCACACTGTCGAAGGACAGATATCTGCTGGAACAGACTCAAGGCAGTATTCAGTCTGATGGCTCACTATGACAAATTTAATACAAAGTATGACCACAGACCAGTCTTCAGACATTATCAGTGATTAATGACTATAATGAATGAAGAAGAGTCATGACTGATGAAGGAAGGAAACTGTCATCATTTGACAGAGTGAATCCAGATGAAGAAGGAAATAAAGCGATAGAGGAAGGTAGGAGAGAAATAATGTGATAATGAACAGCTGATGAAACGAGACCAACTGAAGACTGCACCAAATAAAACCAACAAAAGAGAGGTACAAATGTACACCAGAAAAGGAAAGACTTGTTAAAAAAAATTAKTGGAGATGTAAGAAATGTGAAAAAGAGTAATAATAATAAAAATTTAGTCAGAAAAAAGGAAAATGTTCTAAATAATGGATGAAGCAGGAAAATCAGCCAGAACTGCTGTTCCCAACCATTTTTATAGAGCCCCTCTTTGCCACATTCTGCATGTTCAAACATGCACAGTGAAATATCATTTACTTATTTATCAGTAATTTATTCCAGATCATTTGATTTTTTTAAATTCAGAACCTGCTTCCCTCGGTCTGAGTTCCACATCATGTCTTCATTTTCCTGATTTATTTATTCATCAGCTAAAGGACAGATGACYTTTTTAATAAGGCATTTCTTGTTTTTTAATGAAATATAAAAATGTAACACCTATGAGACCTTTCAGAAGTGTGTAAAAATGTTTGCAGAGCAGGAATAAATAATTTGTGCAAACAGTTGGGTCCACCTGAGAACAGTTTTTCTACCTCTGTAGTTCAGTTTATACAGAGTGTGTTGWTCAGAATACTGCATCAGTTTGTTCGTCTCATTGAAATTTGCTGTAGTTTTACTCAAAGTTGCATCAGTTTAAGGCAGGGGTGCCCAAACATTTTCCCTAGGAGGGCCAAAATGTAAATGGATCTGAAGGCTGCGGGCCAAATGCAATAATATAATAGATTAAGTGCAAATACTTTTTAAGTAAAGTTGTTTTATTTTTCGTGATTAAGATAGCAGTCAATTTGGTGGCCCACATTTTTTGTTTGTTATTTTTTTGTTAGCCAATGGACATGCAGAAAATTTGACATACGCTCGAGCACCAAAGGCCCATGGCGCTTTTCATAAATTAAAATTTGTGTATTTGGGGTCTTAGTATGCAAATCTAGATATGTGCTTAAATCTAATCTAAATGTCTCTTGTAGTTACTTGTATGTTTAATTTTAATATAATTCTATGATAAAATAAGTGACGTGAGTTAAGACTGTCAGCCCTACAGCTCTTTATATAGTTGGACCAATAGTTGGAATGACTAAATGGAAATAGTGTTTCTACATTAAACAGGTAAATACGACCTAGTAGCCAGGACAACTGCTGGTGGGCCAAACCAAATGGCTTGGCGGGCCAAATTTGGCCCGCGGGCCCCACTTTGGGCTCCTCTGATCTAATCAATTTATGTCGTTAAAATCTAATTCCATTTCAAACAGAATAGCCTATTGTCAAC